AACTTTATGCAGCATATATATATATATATATATATATATATATATATATATATATATATATATAAAACTGAGAAGAAAAAACCCTTAGTGAAAAACAGCAACAACGGACGATTTAATCTTCGACGTTTCGGCCGGAGTCCGGCCTTCATCAGGAAGAACTTTTACAGATGAACGCGGGTGGTATTTATACAATGCTACGGTCGAGTCCAAATTTCGGAGGGGTGACGGTTGAAGCTTTCGAGAGGGGGAAGCGGAGGGCAGTTCTTATCCGGGTGAAGAAGCTTGAGGGTCGGTGCCAAGTTTCAAGGACGGCGGGATGACGGTTGTAGCTTCTTGAGAGGGGGCGCAGGGTGACTTTGTGTCCGGGCCGGCAGCGGTGACCTATATAGACGATAGCGTACAATAGACGAAAGTTACACGCGCAAACTAAAATGCTGTCTCAAAAAAAAAAAAAAAAAGAAAGGGCGGCACGGTCTCTTGTGTGCATGCAGGCATGCATGAGTCAAACCTGGAAGGGAACAATGTTAAACCTAGAAGTAAAAAGAAATACAATGGATATCAGAACCTGGAAATAAAAGAAAAGTTGATGGTCCAGTTCCGGCCCCAAACACAGTACCACTGTTAACAACAAAATCTACAAAAAAAAAGAAAAAAATGTTTTTGGATTGCTGTTGTTATTCGTCTGTTAGCATTTTAATCGATGCCAGAGTACCGGGGCTTTCATTTATTCCTTGTTTAATAGTGTTAAATCGGTAAATTAGGTAGGATTCACGCTGTTCACGTTCGCGATTTGATATAAATCCAGATTCTAGGAGCGTCACTGACAATTTATCAAAAGAATGTTTTGGGAGAGCGAGATGTTTGGATAAAGGCAGTGCCGGAAGATTTATGGCGTGAAATTTGTGATTATTAAAGCGCAGTCTAAATGCCGTTCTAGTCTGCCCTATGTATTGCATTTTGCATACCGTACACTCGAATAAGTAAATGACATTCGACGAGGCACATGTTAAGTTCCCTTTAATTTTGATCGAGAACTGCGAGTGCGTGCTGCTGGCCGTGCTTGTGTGCTGCATCTGTTTACAGATTAGACATCCTGGGTGCCTCCAAGGCCTACATTCGTTAGGTGGTGGCGATGAATTTATCCGAGAGTTTACTAGCGCGTCTTTGAGGTTACGCGATCGTCTGTGGACTACCCCCGGGGCGGATGGAAACGCGCGTTTAAGGCGCTCGCTTTGTTCGAGAATGTTATAATGTCGTCTCAAGACATTATTTACATCAGGATGGTTTATGCTATAAGTTAGACATAGATTTGTGCGTTGTGTGGGGCGCGGGCTGATGAGGTCTGCGCGGTTCAGTTGTTTGGCTTTTCTGATTGCATCGTTGATTATACGGGGTGGATACTTTTGTTTCTCTAGCACTGACTTTAAATTTTGACTGCTCGCATCAAAATCTGTCTCTTTTGAACAAATTCGTTTGAAACGATGAGCTTGGCTATAGGGAATGCTGTTCTTGCAATGGTGTGGGTGGTCGCTTTGATAATGAAGGTATTGCTGCCGATCTGTTGGCTTACGGTACAGGCTCGTGGCGAGTTTACTTTCGTCTATCTTAACGTTGACGTCTAGGAAGTTTATTTCGGTTTGAGAGTACGAATGTGTAAAGCGGATGCTCGGATGAGCAGCATTGTATCGACCTATGAAGTCCACCAGCTCCTCCTCAGTGTGCGACCATACAATAAATATATCATCTATAAACCTTTTGTATATTACCGGCTTTACGGGACATTCAGAAAGGAACTGAGATTCCAATTTTCCCATGAATATGTTGGCATAGTTCGGGGCCATTTTGGTGCCCATCGCGGTTCCGCTAACCTGCCGAAAGTATTTATTGTTAAATTCGAACGTGTTTAGTTCTAAGACAAGCCTCGCTAGAGTAGCGACGACGTCTCCATCTGGGGTATCCGGTTGTTTGTGGAGTTCGTACATGTCAATTAAAGAAAGTATTCCATCATCATGTGGAATATTCGTATACAGCGATGACACATCGAGTGTAACGAGATATGATTCTTTTGGTATGCATAAATTTGATATTTCTCTTAAGAAGTGAGTTGTGTCTTTAATGTACGAATCAAGAATTGTAGGTATATGTTTAATTAAACTGTCTACATATCCTGATATGGGTTCGGTTACTGTACCTATTCCGGATATGATTGGACGCCCTGGGTTACCAGGTTTGTGAATCTTAGGGAGCATGTAGAAGCGCCCCGGAGAAGGCTGTACCGGTTTCATTAATTTATGTTCGTTAGCAGTTATTCTGCCCTCGTCTAGGAGATCCTTAAGAACCGAGGTCACAATCTGAGTGTGGTGCACCGTAGGGTCATCCGCGAGAGGTTCATAAAACTTTGAGTCATTTAGTTGGCGGTTTCCTTCTCGGATGTATTCAGAAGTGCTAAGAATCACAATTGCTCCTCCTTTATCGGCTGGTTTTATTGTTATGTCTGTCCTATTGCTCAGGGTTTTTAAGCTAGCCCGTTCGGATTTAGTGAGGTTATCCCGTCTTCCCGCCTGCCTGCGATATTCCCGTATTATGTCTTTTTGCACAGCGGCTATGTATAAGTCAAGACAATCATCACGGTTAGCTTTTGGCGTCCAGTCGCTCGTTGCACGCTGCTGAGAGGTGTTGGAGCTAGAAGTTTTGTCCAAGAAGTATTCCCGCAATCTTAAATTTCGAGCAAAGTTGTCGAGGTCGCGTAGTAATTGAAATTCGTCAACAAAACCTGTGGCGGGACAGAAATTTAATCCCCTCGAAAGGAGTCTTTCCTCTTCTGTTGATATAGTCACGCCAGATAGATTAACAATTGTAGTGCCACAAGGGGCACTAGTGCTTGACCTATCGTCTGTTATGCTAATGGCCGGTTGAGTATGTTCGTTATAGTTAAATGATGTCGTGATCTGAGGTAAAACAGGGTTAGGAACCTTATCGCGCTGTAGCTTACGTAACTTGATTGTTGCGAGGTCATGGTGTTTCTTTTTATCAAATTCAGATAGGGCGCTAATTTCGGATGTCGATAAGGGGCCATTTGAACGGAGAAGTGTAGCGGTCGCGGTCGTTAACTGTTTCACTTGTTTGTCACTATGCTGAATCGCTATTTGGACCAGTTTAAGGGAACCTTCAAGGAGAACTTGTTGCCATTCCGATCGGTCATGTTGGTCGAGGTTTGTGCAGGCGGGAGGAAGGGAAAGCGACATGCCCTTCGGGGTAATGCCTGCGTTAAGGTACACTAGCAAGGTTGATTTATGGAGTTCGTGCCTAATGCGTTTATCTGAGAGCTTTCGTACTTTAAGAAAAGTGGTACTGTAGTTTGGAGTGGAGGAACTGGACTCACCGAACTGTCGTCATTTGTCCTTCTTCGGGTGCGGGGAGCTCTCCACGGCGGGCTTTCGCAGGTTGTAGCGCTGTCTTGGGGTACTTCTCGGCTGCTGCGGGCGTTGCATTGGTGCCACACTCTCGGCAGGTGTCGGGTACTCACCGACGTAGTTGACGCTCTCGCTGGCTGCCGGGCACGGTGCTCGCGGGGTCCCCACAGGGGCAGCTGGGCTCTCGATGCTCTCGCTGGCTGCCGGGCACGGTGCTCCCGCGATCCCCATAGGGGCAGCTGGGCTCTCTGGACTGGCGTAGTGGGACCTGGGACTCTCGGGGCGCCTGGGTTCCTCTGATGCGGCTCTCCTGGTGCAGTTGGCGGTGGCGGCGGTGGGGATCTCTGATGACCACCCTGGCGACGTCGTACTTGCTCCACGTTGCAAGATAGACTTCAGGTTTGCCGCGAGTGTGTGGTGACCCTACGGTGCACTGAGTGTGGTGACCCTACGGTGCACCACACTCAGATTGTGACCTCGGTTCTTAAGGATCTCCTAGACGAGGGCAGAATAACTGCTAACGAACATAAATTAATGAAACCGGTACAGCCTTCTCCGGGCCGCTTCTACATGCTCCCTAAGATTCACAAACCTGGTAACCCAGGGCGTCCAATCATATCCGGAATAGGTACAGTAACCGAACCCATATCAGGATATGTAGACAGTTTAATTAAACATATACCTACAATTCTTGATTCGTACATTAAAGACACAACTCACTTCTTAAGAGAAATATCAAATTTATGCATACCAAAAGAATCATATCTCGTTACACTCGATGTGTCATCGCTGTATACGAATATTCCACATGATGATGGAATACTCTCTTTAATTGACATGTACGAACTCCACAAACAACCGGATACCCCAGATGGACACGTCGTCGCTACTCTAGCGAGGCTTGTCTTAGAACTAAACACGTTCGAATTTAACAATAAATACTTTAGGCAGGTTAGCGGAACCGCGATGGGCACCAAAATGGCCCCGAACTATGCCAACATATTCATGGGAAAATTGGAATCTCAGTTCCTTTCTGAATGTCCCGTAAAGCCGCTAATATACAAAAGGTTTATAGATGATATATTTATTGTATGGTCGCACACTGAGGAGGAGCTGGTGGACTTCATAGGTCGATACAATGGGGATCCGGACATTTCGGTGTAGGACATTTCGGTGTAGGACGTTTCGGTGCGGACATTTCGGTGCACGGAAATTTCGGTGCACGGATATTTCAGTGTACGGACTTTTCGGTGCACGGTCGCTTCGGTGCACGGAAATTTCGGTGTAAATTTGAAGTTCGGGAAGTTGAACTTACTTGCAGTTATTCGGACATTTTATGTTCACGCATAAAATATAACAGTTGTATTCATTAAGACATAAAGCTTGTCCCAATTCAAACACGGTTGATTCTGCTCGTTATTAAGACATACATACCTTAAACAAGTTAAATTACTTTCCTCTTTCACACTACGAGGATATTTTCCTAGCTAGCAGGTGTATAGCTAAACACAAACTTATTCGCTTGTCTGACTTTATTCCTGATGGAATGCTCTTTCTGGAAAGTAGCTCGAGATTATAGGCCTTCTGAATACTATAGAAACAGGTAAAGATACACATCATAGGTTAGTCGTGGGTTTCATTATCAAGCAAAAGTCCGAAGCCAAATGCATTCAGAAGCAAAATAGTACACAAAATGTAATGTGGACCACTTTTATTTACAAAAGGCACATGGCCCGGGACCTAGAACGACACGTTGCGGGCAACTCCCCTTAGGAAGCGTCGCACATCACTAGCGTCGTATTCTCTAGCAAGTGTCTTTAACCGTTCTGCAGCCTTCGCGTATTTCGAGGCCTGCTTGAAGCGCTGGCCCATCTCGAGTCTTCCAAGCCGGTGAAGTTGCAGGGCGTCTTCTCGTTGTAGCACCTCCAAGAATCTCCAGAGAGTTGGGTGCGCGCACTGAACATGAGCTTGGAAGCTCCGGTGCCAGGCTTCCACTGAGTTCGTGGTCTTGGAGCCGCCCTGGAGAACGGTGTCGTGGTGGTTCCATAGCTTAATTGGAAACTGCGCATCTCTTCTGCCCCGTGCCGTTAGCCGCCCAATAAACACATCCTCGAAGTAGTCGACCACCGGGAGAAGTTCTGCGCGGATGCTGGACGCAAGCTCGGTGAATGCCCCCTCCACGTCGTCCTGGGGCACAATTGCAAGAGCTGGGATCATGCGAGCTTCCAGGTTTATGTCGGGGTCAAAAGCATACAGCTCCTGTAGTCCTTCCGACTGAAGTCTGCGGTAGACACATTGCGACAGGTGAAAAAAACACCCGCGCACGTCGGCGCTTGGGAAGACCGCCCTGAAAGCGTTGATAGCCGCCAGTTCGTAATCCACTGTGACGGTCCTTGGCTCGCAATCTCCCCCACACTCGGCGTTAAGGGTGTTCAGGGCTCGCGTGTACGTCCCACAGTCTTTCCGCGTTAGCAAAATGTATGCCGCAGGCAGGATGGAGCCGCCCACTTCGCAGTGTAGACTGTAAACCTGGAAAAACAACTCAGGCGCAACCTTGAACGTCCCGTCGGCGAACCACTTCTTAGATGTTCGGAGAACATCCACCATCTGCGGGCTGCAGAAGATAAGGAAACGGTCCTGGTCTTGCACACCGGAGTAATGCAACAGGAATCTGGACCCGTCAATCTTCGACGCGTACTGCGCAGGGATGACGACGTCTTCTAAGCGTGAAGGGAGAGGCATTGGCCGTTGCTCCATCGCCCGCGCCCTCCTGCATGCAAAAAAGTTGGAAATATTATTGCTGTCACGTTTCAACTATAGGGCGGTTACTCATTATTATTTTACTATATGTTCAATTTTAAAAATGTTTAGGCTAGCCCGATGATAAACTGGACATCTCCATAGCATATGAGGTGGCATATATTTTGCAAAGGTAGCAAAGATGTTAATTCGTAACATTCGTGTATAACACTTACCTTAATGTTCTCTTAACAGTGTCCTGAGGCGGTAAGTAACTGCAAGCTTCCGGTGTCATCTCGGCCACCAGGCGTCCGACGATGGCTTGATTGGGTTCCTCAGTCGTCCGTGCTCTTTCCTTCATTGATGAGTACGCCAACTTGGCCTCTTGGTCCAGTCGGCTGGGAGCATGGCTGTGTTCGTTGATCAGCTTGACAACTTCTTCGTCAATAGTGTGAGCCCTTGCTTTACACTCCAGTTTCCGGCTACATTGCCAGTATGTCTGCGAGGAATAGGCGTTTTTATAAATTATAACTTAGCTAAAGACAGGAAGAGTCGGCGTAACAATCTTCGTACTATTAAAAAAAGATCGCATTTGAATCGCAAACTCAGTGAAAGGCTCACCTTTTCTTTGAAGCAACGTTCCTTGTCATACTCGAAGCCTTCGTGCAGAAGTTTCAGCCCACCGCGGTTACTTCGCAAGTACACAGCCATTTTAGGGAAGTGACGAGTTAGTTTGCACCAACACTGGTTGGCATACGACGAGGCGACACACAAGTGAGTCACCAATAGGGGCGTGTCCTCTAAAACCGGAAGTTCTCCCCCCTCCCTCCGCTTCACATCTGCGGCGTTATGTCCTCTCCTGGACCTTCCTTCCTTTATGATAGAATGCGAAAAATTAACTGGAAAGGGCAGAAATAACTGGTGACATAAGACCAAATGCAGGGGTGCCCCCCTTTTCGCACCTCACCCGCTGAAGGCGAAACAAAAGAAAACGAATTCCTGCCTTGTTTGTCCGTATTGTCAATTTCTCCATAATTCTTCTAGGAGAGAAAAAAGGTTTGTTGAATGGAACGGCTTTACAAAAGGCAATTCCAGTGATAAGCCTATATCCGGACAAGCTATCTTGGGTTGATTGTTGGACACCGCAGGAGCATAACATAGCAGCCGAACAAAGGGTAGACTTACCTCCTCCCTCCCCTGCCCCTACTCTTCCCGCTCTAAAGTAGTGATCTTAAAAAAAAAAAGAAATCGGCATACCCTTATTTGTGTTTTTCGGTTTAGACCAAAAACTACTTATAGCATATAACTAGGATTCCATGCTTTCGGAGTTTAGCTTTCGTCAAATTTGGAGGTTTTTTTGTGTTTTCTTTTCTCAAAAATCTGGCATTTACCGGCGTTTATTTTCGGTAAATACTGAATTCTCAGAAATTACGAGTTTATCGAATTTTATTTCTGGTCAATTTCCAGATCTCCGAAAATGGTGAACAAAATAAAAAGAAGCTATTCACACTTCGACGGATGAAGACAACGAAATTTACTTTTATTGCACGAACTTTACAGCTGGTGCAATCACGGTTGTTAGGAACTCTATCTCAGAGCTTGCTGTAATAGGTGCCGTCATATTTCGTCAGCTATTGTCGCTGATGGCACGCATATTGACGAGATGAGCCTCTTTTGGCAATTATACAAGTTTTGGAAGGGCACTGGTGAGCGCTCTTGGTACCGTTTTATATTAGAACTAATATTTTTTGTGCTTTGACTTCGATATTGGAGTTTTTCAGATAAACCCGAATCAACGAAAATTTTAGCCGGCGAGTGCTTTTCAGAGTTTTTCGAATATATCCGAAAACACGGAGTCCTACCTATAACTACTCCTGGCGGCGGCCCCGTTCTTCGAAGCATCGTGTTGAGCTTCGTCCATGGCTTTGTCCTGAAGCCCGTATAAAGTTTCATCTTTCCGCTAAAGGCGAATCAGACCAACAAAGTCACCTCCTTGTTCGTTTTAACCAACACCGGTTGGTATACGACGAGGCGACACGCAAATATCAGATGCTTATCATATAACATCGAGTTCTCAAAGTGTAAGGTTAAGGTAAGGCAAGTTTCTGGCATTGTTGACCCTTTTCGTCACAAGTTCCCCGATCCCGGCTTCCCGAAAGAGGCGCACGGTTATCAACCTTTGTCGGAGGCGATAAGACTAGCGTTTATTCCCGTTTCTAAAAAAAGATGGCTGTCTTCAGAACACAAAAAGTTAGAGAAGCAGAAAGGTCCATTGTTCTGTCAACTACAAAGAATGAACCAAAAGGAGGGAAAAGTTTCTTATGAATGCCGAAGCGTTCTCTGTAGCGTTCGAGGAAACAAAGCTGAACAGAGGAAGAATTACTTTTTCGTATCAACTTGGGGGCGAAAGATAAATACTACAAGGGCGAGAAAACCAAATCTTGGGTGTCCCTTTTGTGTTCAACGACCATGCACCGAAATATCCATACACCGAAATGTCCATGCACCGAAAAGTCCCTACACCGAAATGTCTTGCACCGAAAAGGCCGCACACCGAGAAGTCCGCACCGAAAGTTCCTACACCGAAATGTCCTACACCGAAATGTCCTAGACCCGATACAATGCTGCTCATCCGAGCATCCGCTTTACACATTCGTACTCTCAAACCGAAATAAACTTCCTAGACGTCAACGTTAAGATAGACGAAAGTAAACTCGCCACGAGCCTGTACCGTAAGCCAACAGATCGGCAGCAATACCTTCATTATCAAAGCGACCACTCACACCATTGCAAGAACAGCATTCCCTATAGCCAAGCTCATCGTTTCAAACGAATTTGTTCAAAAGAGACAGATTTTGATGCGAGCAGTCAAAATTTAAAGTCAGTGCTAGAGAAACAAAAGTATCCACCCCGTATAATCGACGATGCAATCAGAAAAGCCAAACAACTGAACCGCGCAGACCTCATCAGCCCGCGCCCCACGCAAAGCGCCACACAACGCACAAATCTATGTCTAACTTATAGCATAAACCATCCTAATGTAAATAATGTCTTGAGACGACATTATAACATTCTCGAACAAAGCGAGCGCCTTAAACGCGCGTTTCCATCCGCCCCGGGGGTAGTCCACAGACGATCGCGTAACCTCAAAGACGCGCTAGTAAACTCTCGGATAAATTCATCGCCACCACCTAACGAATGTAGGCCTTGCAGGCACCCAGGATGTCTAATCTGTAAACAGATGCAGCACACAAGCACGGCCAGCAGCACGCACTCGCAGTTCTCGATCAAAATTAAAGGGAACTTAACATGTGCCTCGTCGAATGTCATTTACTTATTCGAGTGTACGGTATGCAAAATGCAATACATAGGGCAGACTAGAACGGCATTTAGACTGCGCTTTAATAATCACAAATCTCACGCCATAAATCTTCCGGCACTGCCTTTATCCAAACATCTCGCTCTCCCAAAACATTCTTTTGATAAATTGTCAGTGACGCTCCTAGAATCTGGATTTATATCAAATCGCGAACGTGAACAGCGTGAATCCTACCTAATTTACCGATTTAACACTATTAAACAAGGAATAAATGAAAGCCCCGGTACTCTGGCATCGATTAAAATGCTAACAGACGAATAGCAACAGCAATCCAAAAACATTTTTTTCTTTTTTTTGTAGATTTTGTTGTTAACAGTGGTACTGTGTTTGGGGCCGGAACTGGACCATCAACTTTTCTTTTATTTCCAGGTTCTGATATCCATTGTATTTCTTTTTACTTCTAGGTTTAACATTGTTCCCTTCCAGGTTTGACTCATGCATGCCTGCATGCACACAAGAGACCGTGCCGCCCTTTCTTTTTTTTTTTCTTTTTTTGAGACAGCATTTTAGTTTGCGCGTGTAACTTTCGTCTATTGTACGCTATCGTCTATATAGGTCACCGCTGCCGGCCCGGACACAAAGTCACCCTGCGCCCCCTCTCAAGAAGCTACAACCGTCATCCCGCCTTCCTTGAAACTTGGCACCGACCCTCAAGCTTCTTCACCCGGATAAGAACTGCCCTACGCTTCCCTCTCTCGAAAGCTTCAACCGTCACCCCTCCGAAATTTGGACTCGACCGTAGCATTGTATAAATACCACCCGCGTTCATCTGTAAAAGTTCTTCCTGACGAAGGCCGGACTCCGGCCGAAACGTCGAAGATTAAATCGTCCGTTGTTGCTGCTTTTCACTAAGGGTTTTTTTCTTCAGTTATTATCTTGATAGCATTCATGATAGCACTGTCGGCATTTATTATCTTGATACATGCAGCCGTCCTTGAATTGGTTTGGATTGGTGTTGCATGGCTTTGCTTGGTTTGGAGTGGTTCGCGGGTTTGGGGCCGTCCCCATGTGACTCTCTGTCGCGCTGTCGATCACCTAGGGCGCGTCACTCTCCATGTGGCAAGCAGCGTCATTCTTGGCGCGCAGTTCTATAATGCGCAGTCAATTCGTCGAACAAGGTTTCATTGACAGATAGTTTCGTCGACACTGCGATGTTTCATCGGCAGATCGTTTCGTCGACATTTGTTTCATCGTTTCAGCGAGCACGCGACCAAACGTTTGGCCGTTTGGGCGCGTGCTTGGCTTGTCTAGCGGATATTTGTTTACGTAAGGAGCGTCCCCTATGAAGCTGAGGACCGGCGCTCCGCTGCCAGATGGCCGGGCGTAATTGTTGCTTTCTGTCGTGCTTTTGGCTGCGTACTCGAAGCTCGCGAGGTGCTGAATCATTCCAAACGTT